TACCTTCTCCAAAGCCTTCGTCTTCTTTATATGAGGTCTCTAGAATTGGGCACAGTACTCCAGCTGGGGACAAATCTCCAGCCTTTAATAATCTATGTCTTTGTAATAAAGCTCAGGATTTCACGCGCTTTAATAGCCGCTTTGGTAACCTCTTCCATCACCTTCAGATGTTTGTGCACAAATACCCACAGATTTCTTCTTGCATCATCCTCGTAATTGTACAATTTAGCCCGTATCCTTCCTCATTCCTTCTGCCAAAATTCACCACCTCACCACCACCTTAATTTACTCTGCGATATATCCCTTCATTCCACGAGCACGTCAATATCCCCTTGAAACCTATTACTATCATCTTCACGTTTACTGCTTTTCCAATTTTTGTGTCATCACGTTTTGAATGTGTGCACAATAATCTCAAGTCCTCATCACTCATCAATTGTCCCAACCAATCTTCTAACAATCATTGTACTATTATAATACATACAGAAGACTTTGACTTCCCTATTCTCCTGTAGCCTCTTTCCCTATTTTATTTCCTTTTTCTCCTGTCCCCTAACATTTTTAATGATCAGCCTGATTCTTCACCCTTGAATTATCAAGCTGATGTCTTTGTCATGACACACTTATGAAAATTGTGCCAATAATTGAATGCCACTATTCCATAAACCATCACAAATGTATAACTACTCAATTAAACCACTAAGATGATCAATTTGCCCAACAGATAGCTATTTGGGACAAAAGTAATTCATATCAGGTTTTATCATTAACAGGAAGAGCTAATTAACATTAATGTTAGCTCTATTTATTTTAAACAAACTTTTCTTTAACAAATATAAAACAAATGGATTACTAATTTACGACTAAATTAGCAACTTAAGCTATGTACGTTTTAAAAAAAAAACCCCAAACACTGATATTCTTTTACAAATAAAACAAAAATAGATGTTTTGACAGAAATAGTATGGGTAGAAAAATATAGACAGGGAAAACAATTTGTTTAAATTTGATTCATTGGTGTCATATGCTCCTTGATACAGTGAAAAGTTTCGTTTTGCATGCAGTACAGGCAGACCATGCAATAAAAAGTATATTAGGGTTATAGAACAGTGTGAGGAATACAATGTTATGGCTGCAGAGAAGGTGCACAAAGAGCTCAGTTCTGACCAGAAGGGTGGAATGAGTTAATTCTGACAGTTCTTTAGGTTTCTAGCAAAGTTGACAAAAGTTGCTGTGGAGCAATGTTCAATTGTACAGAGCATAGCATGCCAGAATGATGCAGCATATCCTATTCAGATTATACTGGAGGACACAACCCTCCATCCCGCACCAGACCGGGAAAAGCAGCAGAATAACATCTTCAATAGCTGTTTTGTCTGCTCCACCATGTTCCTGTCAATGCATGGGGAACATTGTATCTGCGCTCCACAGTGAGTTATGCATTGAATCATGAGCCCTTGATCCTCAATATCCTGCCTTGGAAGGCACCTGGACCTTCAGAAGCACCAGATACTTAGTGTTCCAGTACGTAGGAGTCATGAAGCTACGAGGATAACAGCCAGGAAGTGATAAGTGATTACAGATGACCTGAACATTATTAGAATGGAACCCGTTCCTGATGAATTCTGCAGCATTGTGATATGGCCCTCTCAGTGCTATGTATGTGCAGTCCAGCAGCACGAACAAATTTGATATAATAAGGTTGAATTAATAAACTCCACCAAATAGTCCTAGTGTATATTAATGTTTATTTGCAGTTGTGACAGACGTAGACTACAAAATGTTGAGCAGTCAATAACAATCAAAAAGTCTCCTTTTCTAGTGTAGAGTACTTTTTCTGATACCAGTTTTATTTCCGAGTGACCCACTGACTTACACTATTCCCAACTAGTCTGCACCCACCTCCAAATCACTAGCATTTTACAGTTAACATTTAAAGGGGACTGAAATGAAAAAGAGAAGTTTTGAAAACCATGGATTGACAAGGATGGCTGCATGTTTTGAAAACAAGGAATTTGATACTTACTGTGACCTATGCTTGCTGTGGATTCTAACAATGTGCAGATGGACTGGAGCGGAGGGGGATGTTTATAAGCGAAGCTGATTGATAATTGGTCCACAAACCAAATACAAAAATTTTCCACCTGTCAAAAAGGTGATTTGTTGTCAGGTAGATGAACAGCTTGGGCTGTGACCAAGATAGTGAGAAACTAGGCAGATCAGAAGATAAATCAGACCACGAGCAGCCAAAAAAAAAAAAACCACTCAGTTCTCTGCAATATGAAAACCAGCTTATCTTTCCTTCCACAAATACTGCAAGTTGTGACTTTGAATTGGGTAAGTCAGGGATGTTTCATAAGTATACCAGCCATCCTGTGTTTCCTATAAACCAGTGGTAGCAAATAGAAAAATGAAAGTTGAGGATAAACCTTTGGGTTGGCAAAGAACTAACCCAGCAGATGTTGAGTGTAAAGACTACAGTATACAAAAAATAAACAGAATTGCAGAGGCTGGAAGTCGGAAACAGAGAAATTGCTGGAAAAACTCAGCAGGCGCACTAGGATCAGTGGAAAGAAAGCAGAGTGAACGTTTCAGATCCAGTGACCCTTCAAAACGGGGTGTGTGGGGGGGGGTGTGTGTCTCTAGAAGGGGGAGGTTTAAAGAGTTTCAACTTGAAGAATTTAACTTTTAAAATTTTTTTAAACCAGCAGCTGGAAGCTATTTATGAGCTTTACTAAATAGCAAATTTCGTGTTAAGTATAGAAACTTGGTCCAAGCTTTCTATTAACATTGGTTTGAAAATTCAGTTTTTTGGGGATTCTGCATCTTTCAATTAAAACATCAAATTTTCAAAGAATTTGAAAATATGGGGAACATGATTTCCAGCATGTTATCCTTGTGCCATGAAAAGGTTAGTAAAGTCAAGGATGGTTATTTGGATTGCCTTCACCTTATCAAAAGTTGCTTGGCACACTGCTGACCATACCACTACCTATATTCACAACAAATCTTTGTTTCAAATACACTTTAAATGCACAACTATTGTGCTGAGGTTTGGCACAAATTTCCAATAATCGACAGACATTTCTCAAATTCCTGTTTAGTCAGGAATTCAGAGACTTCAGTTGCACCATTCCTCACAACACTAACTTTGCCCGACAAAATGCCATAGGTAGGTTACCCAACCTTTGCAAACTTAATCTTGACAAGATTTGTGACTAAATGAGTTAACTGTAATTGCTTTAACAAGTTTTTTAATTGTTTTAGATGTTCTTCCCAGCTGTTACTGTATATTACAACATTGTCTAAATAAACGACATAGTTTGGCACTTTTTCTACAATCTTATTCATAAATCTGAAACGCAGCTGAGGAATTTTTAAACCTGAATGCATGACTTGAATTTTACATAACAAACTTGTTGTAACGCAATGATTTTTTTTACTTTTTGATTTTAAAGTTATTGCCGGTACCCCTTCAATAGGTCAATCTGAGAAAAGAATGAGGCAAGGCCAAGCACTATCAATACAATCTCGAAACTGATGAATGAGGTATGAATGTGCTTTTATTACCATATTTACTTCTCTATGCAGAATGCAGTCAATCCATCCAGTTTAGGAACCTGCATGACTGGTGAACTCTAACTGCTTTGGCTAGGTTCAATCAGATGATTTCTGGTCAATGGTAACTCTCAGGATGTTGATAGCAGAGAATTCAGAGACGGTGACACCTCTGCACGTCAAGGGGTGATAGTCAGATTCTCTCTTATTGGAGTTTGCCTGATTGTCATTGGCATAAGTTTGGACAAACTATTAGTTTTTAGTACAGCCAACCTGAGTATGAGGACATTACAGGTGAACAGCAATTAACTACAATTGGCAGAAAAGTCAAGTTTTGTAAAAACATTTCTGCTTGTATTTAGTTAAACGTTTATTTTTCCATCATTGTAGACCAATACTGCAGCTGACTATTAAAAATTGTATTATATGAATGCAGTCTCATATGTTTAAAAAAACTTGTACAAACATGGAGCGGTTTTCATTCACTAACATGTATGGCTTTCTGTTAGATCAGAATTTCACCAACAAAAGGCTCTAATATCATGCAAGTTTTTTTTCAGTCTATTAGCATGAATAGGTTCACAAATTCAGGGAAGAACATTGAGCACTTTTCGATAGAAATAGGACATTCTCTTTGTGAAACTTAAGGCAAGGATAATTAAAAAGGAACTGTCAGAATATGGCATGGAAAACTAAAGAAGAAATATTTTGAAATGTTGTACTTTAGTGCATTAGCACATTTTGCCACAACGAGACTGGGATTAAGAAGGTACAGACAAAAGGGGGAAAGGAAATCTCATAAGTAGCCTTGAATTTTCAGACTAGAGTTAGAGCAGCCCAGCAATCAACATTGTTTGATGGCAAATAAACTAGTGATATTGCAACAAGTAGCTGAGAGAAGCCTCTGCTCTAATGCCATCCACACCATCTCTGTTGGATTATTTTAGCATGCCTGGATGGAAACAGAGGAAGGGTGAGGCCAGAGCTAATCAGTACTTAACAGTGACAAGGGAAAAAACAGTTAAATGAGATTTTAAATCTGAAAACAATTGAAATAATCATGTTGGAACTTTTGAACTTACTTTTGGTTCCTACTTAACATTTGGAAAATCAGGATGTCTGTTTATTTTGAATTGTTTGGAAGGCAAATAAATCATTCCCTTCCAAACAATTCCATTCTCATGTCCTATTTAAACTTTTATGTATATGTGGTATGTTTGAACTGCTAAGAATGTGCAAAAGGAAAAAGACTTCACAAGTTTTTGCTTCATTTTCCTTGAACTGACGAAATAAAGTGAATTCAAGACAGGCAAATCAGTATATTTTGTGTATTAGATAAGAGAATTTAATTGACCTAACATTTTAAATCAGTGTTGATAAATGGCAGAGCAACTGCTTATTACCAGTTTGCAAGAAAACCAGATATTTTGTAGAAACAGCTTAATTTTTATTTGACTTGGGGAAACATACCATACTGTGTACATTGTAACATCTGTTTTACTCGTGTGAACATTAGAGACGTTTAGTCACTGTACACGTAATAACATTATTTATAGACAATGAATACAAGGCAGTGAAAATTTGAACTCTAACAAAAATGTAACTTGATGTAATAGTCAGTGGGTAAACTTTTAAATTAAATTGAAACAATAAGTTAAAAACAGCAACACTTTTGGCACATTATCAATTATAGAACTGTCACTGACAAAATGTATTAAGCAAGCCTGTATTTAAAATAAACTATTTATACTTGCTCAACAGTGCTAAAACAAATAATCAGCATTCAGGGGTTCCCAGATTTCTGTAATAGTATGGATGCGTGTCACGATAGCATGATGTTTAATACCTTTTTCAAATGTCTGGGGACATGCTTCCCTGAGGGAAGAGGGATGGGGATGGACAGATGTGATCGCAATTTTGTAAAGTGAATTTAGCACATTCTGGACTCATTTTGCAATTTCTAAATCAAATTTTGTTTAGTTGAAAGTTACTTTTTGGGACAGCAGAAATTACAAACCATCATAAAAACAATAAGACTGTGGTGTCAGGGGTGTGCTCGAGGTTAATTAGTTGGGTGGTGCTTAATTAAACAAGTGTGTTACTGACAAGCACAGCAGGCTTTCACACCATGATGTCAATATTTGCTTCAGACAACCAATACTTTGAGGACGCACCTTCTAGGCAAACAGGAAATGCCTATATTCAGTCAGAATTAGATGTTACACTGATTTTATATTAAAAGATTAAAGCTTGCTTACAATACTAACAAAAAAGTTACAAGAAATGCTGGAATAGTTCAACAATATTATCTTGTGCAGTTTGTGCTGTTTTCCAAGTTTTGATCTAACGTGGAAAGTTTAGAAATACCTTAAAAAGAGGCAACAATTGGTAAAAATATCAAATATCTTGTGCCATCATTTTGAAACAAAAAAGCAACCTGCTTATAGAATCTGAACAAATGTAAATTGTTTTAAAGATTTAAGGATCAACTCAGTGTGCTTAAATACATATAGGGAAATTCTTGGCACAAATTCTTCTGCATTGTACACAAGAATCTGGATAAAAGAAAACTGTGTTCTTTTAATTATCCAAATGTAATAACATAATGAAGGTATTTTGGTCATTGTGAAACAGTATGAATTTCAAATCCTGGAAAAGGCAGGTATAATAATTGTAACATGGGCTAAAGCATTCAGAATGGTCTTCCTCTGAAATGAATACTTATCATCCAGTTTCAATAATTACTTCTAATATTACAAACCACAGAGCGCCCATTGTGCTGAAATTCAATAAATATTTTCTTTTATGGCAGTGCAATCGTGAAAAACTATTAGGATCGCCGTGGCTCCAACCTGTGAGACATCTGTGATAAAGTTCTCTGATTGTCAATTACATTAAGCTGTCGAACATATACACGGACATCCTGATGGTTCTTGTTTGCAAGTGATGAATCTAGATCTGACAAAGAAAAATATCGTTAGCTGAAGAAATGACAAAAAAGGACATATCGACTCAGGCAGGTATTTACAAGATATTCAAGAAGCAGCAGGAAAGCTCTTTAAAATGAAAGAAAAAGTGATTGAGGGGTATAAGAAAGTAGAAGGTTGATTTTTTTTCATCTTTGGGACTGGTTTGGATGGAAAATGTTAGACTTTTCTAATCCTGTATGTTATCCTTCTATTATTAGAAGCACAAACAGTATATTTGCTTCTGTCAGAGTAGCTGCTGCAGACCTTCCATGCCATAATGAAGATGATTATAGTCTGAATTCCGTTGATTGAATGAAGGATATTTCAGCTGCCTAGCATTCCTTTTCATTCTGAAAAGTGGAACAACAGGCAGAGATTTTATTTTTAAAAAATGCTCTCTGCCTGCCTGAGGTCACTTGACTCAGCTGTCAAAGACCACAAGTAAGCCAGTGATCTCACTCAAAACAGGCAGAAGCCTTACTGAAATATTTAAATTGGGGTTCCAAAACAGTTGATTCCCAATACAATTGTTTTCTCTACCTGCTTCAGTTGTTTAGTAGTCCTACCTCATTTAAACCCTTACTTTTGGCTTGGCTGAATGGAGTACAGCTGGATCTCCCTGAACACTTGGTCAATAGTGAACTGCCTATCAGTGATTGTTGAGCTAGGGCAATTTGCTGAAGTGATTCAAATGAAATTGACCAAAAGTGATTTGGGCCTCGAATCATTAGTACTATTGGGCAACCGGTCTGATTTCTCCTTCTAAAAACTTGCCTGAAGTGGACACAAAGCGAATATCACTTCCGAGTATAGTGTTACCACTTTTGACATTTAGAACTCCCTTAAAATATAAAACAGTTGAGGGAGAATTGTGCAATTCTTTATCACTTCTCTTCAAAAGAAAGAAATGCCAAAGGGTAGAAATTCAATACACTTTTTATAATCTCATTTCTTTCTACATTTTTTCCTAAACTGATGGACTGGTATGAGCTCAGTACAGAAACAGAAAGTATCTCATAAAAATTCATGATGCGTGAGGCCCATTCTCCCTCAAACCACACTTATCCCCAGAAACACATCAGGCTACGTAATAAGTATATTGCAAAAACAGTTAAATAAGCTGAAACTAACAAGTTTATAACTGGGCCAAAGTGCATTCATGGTACTTAGAAAATTGGGAAATGCAGGCATCAGAACTCGGTATAACTTGCATTAATCATTAGACCACAATAAAAATAAAGTGAAGGGAATAAAAATAAAGTGAAGGGGATAAAACATTCATCTGCTGAATCATATGAGAAATGATAAGAGATTGTAAAATAATAAGGCACCTTTCATTGACAAGAAAATGGTTTGTATGGACAGATGGGACTGCCAAATTAATCCCAAGATCAAAGGAGAAAAGAGATCCAAAGTTTGTTGAGCTGATTCAGTGGAGTTCATTTGTTCCTGCTCCTTTACTGTGAAATTAACTTATAAAGTTCTTCAGGAACAGAGTAGCGGCCTGTTCTCAAAATGCAGGATCCATTAACACAAGTGATAGATTAAGTATATTAGTCACCACCAGTTGGAGTACACAGTTTTAACAGCATTTATAAATATCATTAATATTATTATGAGTTTGGATCTACTCATTTCTAGCTCCAGGAATCCTCAAGCAGAAATTTAGAAGAGTTAAAAATCAGAGAGCAGGGACATGAACCCCTGAATACCTGGCATTCAGTTTATATTCACAAAATATTGACTTACTGAAGGGTTGACTTCTGCAGTGTCTGGCTGTCCTTACTGAGTTGCCAATCATATGCTGAAACAAAAAGAAAAAGAAAAAGAAGAAGAAAAATTGAAATCAAGAGAACCACTAATGTATATGAATCTTATTAAATATCCATTTTGCCAAGTCAGTGGGCCTAATGACACTCCTCTTCAAAAGAAACTTGTTTTGGAGTCAGTACAGATTTCAGTGGAACATGAAGCAAGAGCAAAGAAACTGCAATGTCTGATTCACCTGTGCACATTCTTTCTGATAGAGAAAGCATCTAAAAACTTTGTGCTGCCTTCTAATTTAAATGATAGCAGTATGCAGCAAGGGGAGTGGCAAGACAGGAGAGAAAAAAATCAGCAGATTTGAATACTAAATATCATTCACATTGTAAAATATAGACAATTCCTTGAGGGGTATCACATTTTAAATTCCTGACAGGCATTATGTGTACATCAAGCCAGATAAAATCTAGGCCATTACACAGAACGCATATCACAGAAATGTGATCCAACTAGCCTATGCTCCTAGAGTTTACAACATGCACATATCCCGCATTGGCCTCCTCACCTCCCTCTTCAGTTTATCTCATCAGTATAACCCAATTTGAAAAGCCCAAAAAAGTGCTTGTGAAGTTAGTGGTAGCAGAAAATAAAAAGCAAATTGAGAAATGAATCTAGAATCTGCAATATTAGATACCGAATATTTTCCATCTAAAGAATGAAATGGTATGTTACAGCATTTAGTATAAATAATACCACAGAACACTGTAGAAATTACATTTTAAAAAAACCTAAACAATTTTAAACAGTCAAAACAGATAACTTGCAGGAAAGTGAAAATTCCTCTGTGGTTTCCCCCCAAAAAAAACCATGTCTTGAAGCTTACCATTTTTTCAAAATTGATGAGGTTGTCCCTGAGTGTATTGTTGCCTTCATGTGTAAATGTCATGTCTGTGAAGAAAGAGGCAATCAGCAAACAATTTCTTCCAATTGTAAAAGACCTCAAGCTGGCATTACATTCTTCACACATTCCTGAACTGATTAAATTAATTAGGGAACATGACTTTAACCAGCTCTAGCTAAGTATTATAATTATTGCTTGTTCTTATTTAACTGTTGTGGATGAAATTATTAAAGCAATAAAAACAATCTGTGCTTAACAGCTTGATAAATAACATTTGCAATGCAAAAGGAAGGAAGTATGATTGAATTACCTTTTATAAGTAAAGGCATGAAGGGGATGATTGGTGGCTCCAGTTTAGCTACAGTAAGTCTGTATGCCCTATGGTTCCTGGAAGGATCCTACATAAAATTGTTTAGTATTTAATATGCATTTATTGATTAACTGTTTGCAGCAGATATTCTCAATAGGTTTATGTTAAGTAGAATACAATTTCTTGCATAAGTATAGAGTAAATAATATAACTTTAAACAAAGATGAATTTTCAAGACAATGATGATTTTCAGGAGGTAGAAAAAAAAATGAAATATGTTATTCCTTTAAAAAAGGCCTTTATTTCTTGAGAAAATTAAATATTCACACTGATTTTTGCAGCATAATGTTTCCTGTGCTGGATCAAAAAGACCCTTAGTAACAATATTTCATGCACACTTAAAAGGTCATTAAGAAAATTTCAAACCCATTTCAGGACTAGAGGATATAATCCAGGCTTTCATCCAGTGGGGTGGTAGAACGGATAGTATCATACATACCAGCCCTCAATAAGTTAAATAAGTAAGCCCCATCAGCGTTCAGATGAATGTGAAAGATCTTAAAATGCTATTTCAGAAAGACTAGAAAGTCTCACCAACATTCAACCAATATTCCAACACAGATTATCTGGCCACCTGACTATTGTTTGTGGTAAATTGTTACATGAAGATTTGCAGTTCTATATGCCTAAAAGGACACCTCAAAAATAATTCATTGATTGTGAAAGATTGAGGCACGATGAGGATGTTAAAAAGTGCAATGTAAATACATAGATTCTTGATTACCAAGGGGATGAAAAATTATCGGCAATAGACAGGAATGTAGAGCTGAGGTTAAAAATCAGGTCCAATCTTGTTTAATGGCAGAGCAGGCTCAAAAGGGGCAAGTGGCCTACTCTTGTTCCTTATTTATATGTTCATATGTAACATGACATAACTTCAGTTTTTGGGGTTAAATCTTCCCCAAATACGTACAGAAGATGCAACAAACACAATTAAGTCATAAATATAACGCACACAGATCAGGATCAGATTTGCAGAATAAAAATCTGCATCAGTTTGGCGGTATGGGGGCACTAGTTGGCTTGGAAGCAAGGTGGATATGCATGTGACAGTGGCAAGGGAAAGATGGAATGTGAACAGTGTAGAAATAATGTGAACGGCATGAGGGGAATTAAATGAGGAGGATGGAATGGGGACGGTGTAGAAATAATGCGAGCAGGATGAGAGGACTTGAGCAAGGAATGACCTGGGTTGAGGATTTAAAGAAGCACTGATGCAATAAAGATACTAATTTGACCTCAAAGTTTCTGGATCTGTGTGGTGCCTGAATATAATGATCTTATCTTTATCATGGCACTTAAAATCACTATAAAGGTTAAAATTTACATACCATCAAGCTTTCAAATTCCGAATAGATTTTCTTGAATTTACTGGGAAGTTTCTGCAAAAATAGGGAGGAGAATTTTTATTCTGTATTAAAATTCAGTGCTTAACCAAAGATGTCCTGGGCAGCATAGATTTTAGAAACTTATTTAACAAACTGGATAATTTCCAAATGCCTGTTTCACTAGAGATGTTATTTATTTACAATAGTTAATGACACATTGAATTATTTTAATTGAAGTATATTCTTACTTTGCCCGAGTACATAGATTTCCTAAACTCTCATCCTTGACTGTATGCTTGCAAATCCCTTCAGGTCATGGACCAGCCAGAAGAATGACTGACTATGTACTCCAGCACTTTCTCTGCACCACCAAGGAACAGTTAACCGGAAGCTCTTCATCAGGAAGCTGCTCCATATCCACTGGAGGTTGCTGCTGGTCCTGGGTTTCCAGGTGCTTTTCAGGTGTAGCTGACAGACAACAACAGCTATCGTGCCTGGATCCATTGAGCCAATGTGGATAAGATCAGAATTAAAGCAGCTCCTCAGTCACCCAGTCTGCAGTCACAGCACCCACAAATAGCATTTAACCAAAATCCTCAAAACATTAGAACATGGAAGTTCCCGACAAGTAGGGCAGCGGGATGTCTCTATAAATCGATCTTTTACAAAGTAGACCTGATTTAGGTGAATGCTGCACAATCCACGTAGTACACAAAGTGAGAGACTGTTAGTGTGGAAGGAAAATTGAGCCTAACTAACCTATTGTCCACCACACCCCCCCAAACCAACATTACTTTATGTTTAAAGCTGTCTTTCTTGGTAATGTGAACATTTTACCATTCAAGATGTGAGGAAAGTAGCTCTGGGACCTTGTGCAGTCTGTCAGATCTCGGAAGGTGTTGGTGAATTTTGGAACTGCAACAGTACAGCTGACTTCTCATTACTTCTGCTTCATAGCCATTACAGGATCAATTTGTCAGGATTTCTAATATGATCAAACATGGCCTCAGGTCAGGATTTTTTCTTCAACATGGTTGCCCATTGCAGGAGGTTCACTGGGATGATTTTGAGATTCAGTATAGGTTAAAAATATCTGCAGAGTGCCCGATTCATGTAATTGCTCCTTGAAGGGCTTGCCACACTACTCAAATGGTACCTGTTTCCTCAGACAAAACAAAAATACTGGGTATGGTGTAGCCATTTTTCATTTCCATTGTACATTTGCAATTTGGAGGAGGATGGAAGGCAATGTATTACTGCTTTACAAGGCGAGTTTGGGCCTCAGTCTCTTGTTCTGGATGACACCTCTTCCCCCTACTCTACTCGCAAACCTTCACGTTCCTATCTGTCTTGCAGTCCCTGTAAACCCCATTGGATTGGAGGGTTTTTTTTTTTTTTAAATTCTTTAATGAGGGCATCACTGGCTAAGGCCAGCATTTATCGCCCATCCCTAGTTTCCCAGAAGGTAGTTAAGAGTCAGCAACATTGCTGAGAATCTGGAGTCACATTTAGCTCAGTAGGATGGCAGGTTTCTTCCCTAGATGACATTAGTGAACCATATGGGGTTTTCCAACAATTGACAATGGATTTATCGTCATCATTAGACTCGTAATTCCAGATTTTTAATCGAATTCAAATTCCACCATCTACCATAGCAGGATTCAAACCTGGGTACGGAGAACATCACTTGGGTCTCTGGATTAACGGTCCAGTGATAATACCATAAGGCCATTGCCTCCCGTTGCTCATCCAACTCTAAACTTTTCATCTCATTTAAAGCCCCCAAGACCCAAGCCTACAGCTTAGTTTTCCAAACATCATGATGGACTATTCCTCCACTGAGCTGAAGGTGGTGGTAACTGATAACCCTCCTGTAGTACTCCGTTCCCTCCCATACTCTATCGTCTCCCACCCATGAGTTGAGTTACTCCCCTTCACAGTTATCGTCCATGCAGCCTGCTGCCTCCAAACCCCAGCATTCACTTCCTCAATGTCCTCTCCCTAGCAGTGCCCCGAATAACCCACTTGACCTTCAGTGAATAGATCCCCAGGACTGACCATGTCCAACCCCTCCCAGCTGACCTGGAGGGACAGCCTCAATTGCTGAGGGACCAGGCCCCTGACTGATCTCTGTGCAGCTCCCGGACTCATTTACCACTAATCCCTGCACTGGACCTGCGTGTGGCCTGCTTCTTGGGCTGTAATGATACAGAACTCTGAACCCAAACATTCCAAACAACCAACTAACAGTGTCCAGCCATCTGGACTGATGATCCCTTGACCGACTGTGGTGGCACCTTTTTAACTGACAATAGTTCCCCTTGACTTAACTAACTCCTCTTAGATTTTGAGAGATTGCCTGTGTTTCAACAGAATGGACATGAGTTTGCCACATTAAGCTGCTGGCACATGTTGAGGGTGTGATAATGATGTAGCATGACACCATACAGTAACCTGTCCATCTCCTTGACTGATCATTGCTGGAAAAAGTGTCAAGCAGCCTAGCTTTTTGTCCGTGCTAAAATGCAAAGCAAGCCAGAAGTACCGTGAGGCTGTAGGTTCTGAATGAAGCATCTACACACAAAAAGGCAAGGACAAGTAGAGATGCTGTGAACACCTAAGCAAGCACAAACTGAGCTGAGGGCTAAGAAAGCAAGCCAAGAGCCCTGAGAAGCACTCTATTCAGATGCCTGAGATAGGTGCATGTGCGTGCAGGCATAATGGCCTGGCAGCAGGATTTCAAACGAAAGGTGTTGGTGAGCTCTAAAGTACTGTATTGAAGTATGTTCTGTGCAAGTCAGAAGTGCCATGATGACATAGCAAGGCTGGTACTTTGCCAATGCCCATCTCCATGGATGAACAGTGTAGACAACCCGTGGAGTGTGCCCTGAGCTGCTGGCCAAGATGGAACCCCAGGGAAGGTGTTGTTGAGCTGCAGGTGCCAGGTGATCGCTCAGTCTTGTGTTGGAAATTGACTCCCTCCTGTTGTTTTTCACATATGCTGGTGTTGAAAATACTTGCTTGCAGATGTATGTCGTTGCATACAGTGAGAGTACAGCAATAGCATGGTCACAGATTGTTGGATATTCATGTACCACAGTCAGCCAAAACCCATACAAAGACAACTCTCCAAACTTCACCATCATTGTGTAAGTTTGTTTTCCCTCAAGTGGGAAATTTTTTACCCAAAATATTTACTCACCAGTCACAGTAGTTCCTTACAACAGGAAAAATTCTCCTGAACAGAGTTCCCATCAACTCACTGAATATTGGCCAGTGTTGGTTTATATCAATTTGAAAAACAAACTCTCACGAAGGGTCTAGGCCCAAAACGTCAGCCTTCCTGCTCCTATGATGTTGCTTGGCCTGCTGTGTTCATCCAGCTCTGCATCTTGTTGTCTCAGATTCTCCAGCATCTGCAGTTCCTACTATCTCTATTAGTAGTTAACTTCTCTTGCAGCACCTTTTCGATATCAACTGACGTGTTGTCAATTCACTGTTAACTGTATTATCGGAGAGTGCAATTTCATTGATCTCTTTTGCAGTGTTATTTCTTAATGGTCATACTCATGATTTATTTTATGTGCAGGCATGATTTAGGTTTCAGCAAGGGTTTGGAGCTTCTTCGAATTGGTGACAAGCTCAGCCACCAGGCAACAGGCCTGTTAAACGTCACCTGATACCTGCACACACCCCATCTGTGTAGGTCTGCTTGACATTGTATTTGCTCAAGCTCTTGAAGTACTGAATGTCTTTGTTCACAAGAAATAGATGTTTCATTTGTGAATGGTGACTTAACATAATTGGTACCATTGCAGTGTTTGCCAACTTCTCCCTGCAGATGAGACATTCAGCTCAGGGATAAGCAGTATCTCCTGTCTATCCAGAGGCCAGTCTCTGTTCTTGCTTTCTTTCCTTTGGGTTCAGATGTTTCATTAACTGAATTAGCAGAGGAATCACACATTTGACAAGAAACATAATCAGTTCCTCTTAGAATCTATGACTTAGATAAGTAGTAGAAGTAAAAATGAAAATTCTGATGGTATTCATTTTAAAAATCAGCATTAACATGGAAAGGTGACCAGGCAAGCAGGCCAGTTTGACAGCTGTTTTAATTGCACACCTCCCTACTGTGCACACACAGGAGCAACCATTTGTTTATGAGAAGAAACTGCGCATGCACAGATGACAAATCTCCACGGAGGTAATGTGTCAGAAGCCATGACACAAAGCTGAGCTGCTTCTGCAAATTTCGAGGCACATTACTCACCTTGTCGTGGCACACCAGTTGAAAAACTCTGCCCTAGTACAATTCTCAGTCGGCTGTTCAGAACTTATATGGAAAATTGGACTTCTCTTCCCCCTCATGGGATCCTCATGTTCCCATTCTTGCCATATTTTCCCCAACTGTCTCACCATTGCCAAAGTCATCCAAGGGCTGAAAAATTCTGCCCGATGTGCCACTCCCAAATCCATTGTAGAAAGTAATGCAAGACTGTTCTGTGGGATATGCCCTAGCATCCCTTGAAATTGGCAGCAGGAACAAAATAGTCCAAATTACATCACTTACAAATAATCATGGAAAACAAAGACTTAAATATGTGCAGAATATACACACTGTGGATATAGTCAGTATTAGGGTCAAATCCATTTCGAGTACCTAATTATTTAGCCTACATACAGAAAAAAAGACTCATTATGCCAAGTAGTTCTTAACTGATGATCATTTTGAACTTGCAATCAACCTAAGAGGAGGTTTTTGTGTGATGAGTTTCTAAGAGCTGCTAAATCCTGAACCATGGAGAGCTATGGACACTGAAGATCAAACAGTTCAGAATAGATGTTAATGTGGTACATATATCCCACAATACAATCCCAGAATTTGGACAAGGGGTTGGGGTTGGAGAGACTGGCCAACCTAGGAGGGGTTAAGAGATATCTCCTTGAGGTGATGTCATGATCCAAATGCCTCCAGGACAGACTTGTTTTCAAAGAACTAACTGGTGGGTTACTAACTAGCGAGTGCCAATGTGCTTGCCACCAATGAACAGTTC